TTTTATGATGTAATTCGTTTGGTTGCATCGTCAAGAAATTTGGTCAAAATAAAAAAGATTTATAATAATATTATTGGACCACATGAAGATGTAAGAACATTTAAACATTCTTCACAATCCCCACCTCATCGTGTACAATTTACCTATGTTATGATACATTATTTATTAGTATTACATCGTAAAGTATAACACTTTTATTATAATATGTGAATTAATAACACCACATGACATACTCGAGTATTTTCCGTTTTTAAGAAACTTTGAATTGATGAGCAACATCAGCCCCAACATAATAAGCAAGCTGACATTTCAATTTGTGACTACTATCTCACTCAACAAATTTTCACTAGTTAATTTACAATTGAGAAATTAGAAAAATAGAAAATTTTGAAAATGAAAATCTCAACCCAGGGTTATGCTGAAAATGATTAAGGAGAGCCCACGTGGAGCGTCAACTTTACGCGCCACACGTGCCGGTGCGCCCAAGATGCCAACAACAACACCGAGAGCTAAAAGAAAAGAAAATATTCGCTCGGTCAACGAGGAGTTTGACCCACCCACAACTCACTGACTCTCCCGCCCCGCTCGTTTCCTTTTTGCTTCGGTTCGTGGGGCCCACGTGGAAAAAATAGCGCGGCTATCCACGCTGGCGCGTTCATGGTGAGGACACGCGGCACGCTGGAGATCCAAGGGCGGCTTTTCCTAACGGCGGTTATGACGGCGCTGTCGTCGCGTTATCTGCTGCCTCTTCTTTTGTGTTGGGCCGATAAACGGAAAGTTTGTGGCGGCGTTTAGTTCCATTTTTATAAAAAACCTTTCTTTGTGTGGTGCTTTTTTTGGGGGTTGTTGGACTTTTTGGGTTTTGCCATAAAAATTGTCGGCACGGGTCCGCCTCTTCGCCGCGTGAGTAGGATCTCTCTCTCTCTCTATCTCTCTGTGATGTGGGCAGTCTCTTTGAAAATCCTCTGTCCTTCGCCTTTGAACTGGTCCCATCTGATCCAACGGCTGTAGCCTTTCGTTTGTTGGGATGCTGCCACGTGGGTTTTAGACGTCTAGTGGTAATTATCACCGAATGGATAATCACATTGTACACAGCACCACTGTTAGACAAAAAGTTCTGTAAATATATTTTAGTTGAATCTGTTTTTTAAAATATAAAAAAGAACTATACCCAGAAAGCAAAAAGATAAAATTGTAGTGCATTGTGTTGTGCGACCGTTTTTATAATATTTTAACTTTGCATTCGAGGTTTTATGTTTGATTTGTAATTTACTCCCTTAAAATGTTTAAAAAAAATTCTCATTTTTTTTGTATTTTTTAAGTATAACTTAATGTCTTACTCAATTAAAGGAAAAAAAAAACTGAAAATAGAGTGCAAGTTGAAAAATTAAGTATAAAGAAAAAGAACTAATATAAAAGTGAAGTAAAAAGAAATTAATATAGGATAAGGGTAGAATAGGAAAGAGAAAAAACAAAATTGATTAAAAAGTATTAAAAAAAATAAAAATGAGTGTAAGTGGAGAAAACGGGAGTGCAGAAATCATATCCCTTCAAATTTTGAAAGAGAAAATTAAAAGAAAATGTTATTACTAAGGTTAGGTCCCAATTATTTCAGAATAATATGACATGACATGACATGAGTTGAAAGTAAGACGAGTACCAGTAAAACATGAACATGTTAAAAGAGCAAAAGGGGGTCAATTGATTCCACCCACTCAATTTACTCACATTAGCTAGCTACAACTTTTAGTCATTTTCAAAAAGACGTAAAAACCAAGTATGGAAAAGAAATGAATGAGAGTGTGCACTTTTTGTTAAATCCTTTGTATATAGCAACTTTCCTATTGATTTGTGGTCAATTTGAGATGTTTGTGTTGGAAAATTGTTATGATTTGTAGCAACTTTCCTACTGATTTGTAGCCATCTTTGTTTTGAACTTTGAAATAACTACTAGATTTGACACTAACAAAGAAAAAGGGAAACTTTAAGTAAGTGGGATTAATTAGGATTAAAAATGAACCCAGAGACCCACCCATTCTAACCAACCTTTTGATGATTTGTCTACTACTAGTTTCAATCTTAACGGTAGCTAGTAGCTCACCCATCAACCTAGTGTGTCTAAAGGGAATAGGATAACCCCAATAAATTGTTAGGTTGGGTTCAATTGAATTGAAAAAGCTAGCAGATTAACAACCAAACTTGGGGTACATGAGGATAACCTTAACCTTAAACGGCTAAAAGTTATATTGGTTGTAATAAATTTGGCGAGACTTTTTCATCAAAGAGAGTTACAAATACTAATTTACGTATTTAGTATGAAGACATAAAAATACCATCCTCGTTGAGTCATCCTAGCTCATCTAATAGTACACGTGACTTTTGACCCTTGAAGTAGTGTTACACCACTCAATGAGTCATGATGACCTAACAAGTGTAGTATTTTCATACCTTCGTATTGATCATGTGAAATTCGAATGCACTATAACTACTGGGCCTATCCCTAGATATTTCAATCATCTTTTCAGTCTATTGACCTCTCTTTAATTAATAAGAGCAAGTTTTGGAGTTTAATTTGCAATGAATACATTCCTATCACATTTTATCAAAAGAAAATAATAGGTGCTAATGCTCTTCATTTCTGCCTAGCTTATTTTTGGACCATTTTTTTTCTTAAATTATGCTCCAAACTAACAGTACTTTAATGTTTTATGGTTCAGATGAAAAGGAATGAAATTAAGGTCAACATTTTATGGGTTTTTTTTTGGGAGATTCACTATTATATCTAATATAGGAGTCCAAACTAAAAAAAAAACCTATAAGAAATGGACTTCAAACACACCCAAAGTCCATTTACAACATAACAAAAAGGCTTATAACTTTTTTTAAATTACAAAACTGGCATTGATTTCTTAAAACAAACCCAACCCCAAAACACTTAATAGGGCATCAAAGTAATTTAATAATCAAAATTAAATTAAATAGGGCCAGCTGTCATTTTTTGGGTTTGTTTATATAAATTAAATGGTGTAGGGTTTATCTATATTATTAGTGTTAATAATGGGTATATGACTAAATATCTTTTTTTTGTTGTTAGTAAAAACATTTTATGGGTTTATATATAACAAAATAAGATAAATATTTCTTGTATTTTTCTGGAAGTGTTGTATGCATAAACACACATATAACATATCTAGTAAATGATTTTCTTCCAGCCCAAACACAAACACGCCCAATAGAAGAAAAAACCAAACATGGGTTTCAAATTCAAAACCTTGAGAACTTTTTCCCGGGAAAAGAACATCCAACAAAACCTCAAATTAGAATTCCAAACCCAACTCAGAACCCATCATTCTCACCACCCAATTGCACAAAAACCCCTCTCTTACCTTGCAAAAGTTCACATATTTCAGAGCCCAACGAACCCGAAGTCTGAAACTTTCAGTAAGAAATCCCAATTTTACTTTCTGGGTAGGAATAAGACGACCTGTTTTGTACACTCAGTTCCAAATTCTGACAAAAAGGCTCGGTTTGGGGAAGACCAAGATGACCAAACGGCTATTTTCATCCAAAACATCCTCAAGTTTCGAAGGGACAAGCCGACTGAGGAGATTGAGCGAGCTCTTGACCGATGTGGGTTTGTGCTGACAGAGGATTTGGTTTTGAATGTGCTCAGGAGGCACAGGTCTGATTGGAAACCAGCTTATGTATTCTTCACTTGGGCTTGTAAAGGCGGAGGAGGAACTGGGTATTTGCCTGGGTCTGATTGTTTCAACGAGATTCTTGACATTCTTGGCAAAATGCGGGGTTTTGATGAGGTTTCCCAAGTGCTCGACGAAATGTCAAAGAGAGAGGGGCTTATCAATGAAGGAACATATGAGATTTTGCTCAATAGATATGCGGCTGCTCATAGGGTGGAGGAAGCAATTTTTACGTTTTATAAGAGGAAAGAGTTTGGTCTCGAGCTTGATTTGGTTGCGTTTCAGAAGCTTTTGATGTGGCTATGCCGGTATAAGCATGTAGAAGTTGCGGAAACTTTGTTTAACGAGAAGGGGAAAGAGTTTGAACAAGATATAAAGACGTGGAATATCATTCTTAATGGATGGTGTGTACGAGCAAATGTACGTGAGTCAAAAAGGTTTTGGAAAGATATAATGGCATCTAAATGCAAGCCGGATCAGTTTACATATGGGATTTTTATAAATTCTCTGACCAAGAAAGGGAAATTAGGAACAGCACTCAAGTTATTTCGAGCTATGTGGGATCAGGGTTGCAACCCAGATGTGGTGACATGCAACTGCATGATCGATGCGCTTTGTTTCAAGAAGAGAATTCCTCAAGCTTTGGAAGTCTTTCAGGAAATGAATGTCCGAGCATGTCTCCCGAATGCAGCAACATATAATTCACTGATCAAGCACCTATGCAAAATACGACGCATGGAGAAGGTTTATGAACTTTTGGATGAAATGGAGCAGAAGGGTGGAAGTTGCTTGCCCAATGAAGTAACTTTCAATTGCTTACTCAAGTCCTTGAAGAAGCCAGAGGAAGTTCCTGGCCTATTGGAGAGGATGGAGAAAAGTAGATGCAAGATGACTAGTGACACATACAATTTGCTGTTGAAGTTGTATATGGAGTGGGATTGTGAGGAAAGACTGAGATATACGTGGGAAGAGGCCCTTTCCAGAGGGAGGTTAATTAGTTTGAAGTCATTCTCTCAATTTCTTTGAAGTTTCCAACAGATTAAACAAAGCCTACTCTATATATAATATACCAATCAAAGCTTCAACCTACTCACACAGACAGTATTGCTGGCGGAGGCAATGTCTCTTGATAAGAGTTTTGATGCATCATCTGCAGATGTATTATTTGTTTTCCTCTTTCAGCTTCCTCTTATTGTTGGTATTTTTATTGTGAATAAATGAGTATCGTTAGTTAATCTTACTGTGTTTAATTAGAAACTACTCACTGACGGTTGGTACTTGTTAGATAATCACCATGGTTCTAAAGAAGTCGCAATACGAGGTGCTGCTACTGTTGCCCATCGTGCTGCTGCTTCTACTGTCTTTCGTGCTGCTGCTGCCACTGTCTGTCGTGCTTCTGCTACTGTGGCCGAGATGTGACAACTTGGTGATCCTTACCAGCCGCCGGCACAGTTCTGGTCTAAGAAGGCTTTTCACAGTTATAAGGAGAAAATCTAGTTCTATATCTGTACTGTATAAGAATTATAAGCAAATGTTGTTGAGCCATCACGATGCCGTCAAGGCTGTAAATGGTTGAAATCCAGATTGAAATATATTTAGAGACGTTCCCTTGATTTTCAACCTCATAAAAGCCATAGTTGCCGCAGACATATTTGAGCGCTGAGCAACCATGATTAAAATTGTTGGCAATTGACATGAACACTTAAAGGGGCTAAAAGCAAACCAAGACACTTGTTTCATACATGCAAATTCTTAGGCAATGTCTCTTGTTAATACATTTCTTTCTTGAGGGTACACAAGAAAAATCCTTACTTCTTGAAATGTTTTTTTTTTCTTCTCCCAATAGTTAAAAAACATGTATTTCTTGGGCCTCTATCTTTATAATGAAGTGTTAAAAATGTCATATGTACATGAAAAATAAAATAAAAAATTAAGCCCTATAACCACAAAATTTATTTGGGTCTATCAAACATTTTTCATCTTTCTAATTATTTCGTTGGGACCAAAAATTAAAATTTATTTTAAAATTAAAAAAGATAATGGGTAGTTGTGTTCCATAAAATAGGATCCATTATCAGACTTTTCTTTTAAATTTTTTTTAAAATATGAAAAAGTGTGAATTTATCATATTATCCTCATTTAATTAATAATTTCAATTCTTAATGTTTGCATTAACCAAGGGCATTTTCTGGTATTTTGAATGTTTTACCATTCTCTACCTTTTGCTTTATATATTTAGATTAACCCATAATAGTATATCCTTTTTTTGGGTCAAAGGTAGGAAAGGAGAGGGGGATTTACTCATTCACACTAGTAGTGCCTAGGAGTTTCGAACAAGAGACCATTAGTCCTAGGTGGAACATACTTTTCCACTATAGTATGACCCCATTAACAACCCATAATAGTATATATATAACAGAATTTTGGATTTAGGGGACCCTCAATGTATAGCCAGTTGGGGCCTCTTCTAGCTTTACTTAAGCAAAAATACTTACCTATAATGGGGATATAATTGTTTTGCTATTCCCGACCAATAACACAATGACACGTGGAAAAGCTACGTGTCATTGCGTTATTGGGCGGGGATAGCAAAAAGTGTTATCCCAGTTGCATGAGAGTTTCTCTCCGAAGACGAGCCTTAATAGTTTTAATAAAAGGAAAAAGTGCTGCTATTTCCACCCCCTTGTTCTATTTCCCTACTCATCTTATCTTCAAAATTTTAAAGACAAATTTACCCTTTTATAAAATGATCCAACCTATTCTCATCATCCTTGTCAAACCCAGCCCCCCTTCTCCCTTCGCCCTTCTCCCTCACTTTTCTTCATTCCTGGCACTACCACTTGAGGACGGGGCATGTATAAATTATAGCTTCTGAAGTATCATATATATATGTTTTTTTTTCTCTGTAACTTTGGTTTTTGTTGGGTTTTTAGGGTGAAGAGGTGAACAACAAAGTGATTTTTATTCCATAATAGATGGGTACAAGGTTTTATAGAGGACTAGGCTTATTGGCCTTCAACAACTAGAAATTGTTTACTAGGCTTATTGGCCCTTTTCACTCTTTGCTGGCTTATTGGCCTTTTTTTTCTCTCTTTAGGTTTGTACAAGAGTCAACATCTATTTATACACTAAAGCTGCCGCCATTGTCCTAGTCGGTTGACTTGGCTTCTTCTCATAGCCACTACTTTATAATATTATTACTTTATTAAGAGATTTTTATTATGACTTTTCTAAAAGCTTACAACAATTATCTCTTAAAGCTTGACTTTGTCAAAGTTGGTGGACTTTCTTGAGTTTTCTAATGTTTTCTAGATTTATTTATATTCTTCAAGTGTGTATTAAATTTAACAGTTTTTTTTTTTGTTACATTGGGAGGAAAGAAACCCTTTGGGGTTTCGAACCTAGGTTGTCAAGCAGGGGGAAAGGGGAGGCCACCACTGTGGTACCTACTCTCGACTAAATTTAACAGTTTTCAATTTATGGGGAGTATGCATTTGGAGATTCTTTTTTCTTGTGGATGGTTGAGTATATTGATTCATCCATTCACGAATGAAGATTGAAGAATGAAGTTTTCATTTTTTGCAAATTGTCATAGTGGTTAATTACTTCTCGAAAGTTAGGTGAAAAAAGAAACATTCATTTTGCTTTTTGATTTTCTTAATCTTATGATTGATCGTATAATCCATATAGATTTGGAGGAAACAACGATATATTTTTAATTATGGAAACCGCTTCATTGTATAATCAAAAAAATTTCGACATAGAAATTCATATAAGTTCACAAAACAAAACCCGTGGAAACAATCGATTTGGTAGAAAACTATGGAAACCATAAAGAAAAATGCTTCCATTCCATAGCTGGCGTTGGACTTATATATATATATATATATGTGGAGCCTTTCTACAAGAGAGACCTCATGTTAATTAATTACCTAGAATATACCTGGTATTGTTCTCATCTTGACTTATACAACCAGACGTCTATATATACCCAATGCCCACGGACAACATACAGCTAAGGCTCTGCAGATGGAGACGGAGGCCATGTCGCCCAAAAGGAGTTTGGATAATAAGAGTAGTGCAGCCAGTATGAACCCTGCCTCCAACTCCAACGAAACGAAAATCAACTCAGATGACCTGTCACCGAAATCCAGTGTCCAAGGAAATAAGAAGGAGAGAAACTGCAGGAGGCTCTTCCTCTGCAACTCTAACCTCCATTCCTCCTCCTTCTACCCCGGTTCTCCGAGTACGTAAGCTAGCTAGATGCTGTCATACTCATACATATATATATATATATATAACTAGTCTCTCCGCACGCGCTTCCGCGCTTGCGAGAGGCTTTTTTTTAAAAAATTTAAAATTTATTTTAGAATTAAAAAAGATAATGGGTAGTTGTTTTCCATAAAAATAGGATCCATTATCAGATTTTTATTTTAATTTTAATTTTTTTAAATATGAAAAAGTGTGAATTTACCATATTATCCTCATTTAATTAATAATTTTAATTCTTAATGTTTGCATTAACCAAGGGCATTTTTTGGTATTTTGAATGTTTCACCATTCTCTACCTTTTGCTTTATATATATAGATTTAACTTTATGGATTCCTCAAATAAGGTTATATGAGGGACACTTTTGATCCATTCTGCATTATATTTCAATGATTCAAACTTTCTATTATTTTAAATATCATATATGGGTTCAATCCTCATCAATCATAATATACAAGGGTAATGCTAGGCTTACCACATTTTTCATACCACATTGATACCACCTCTCTAATAGAGGTAGAGCCCACCAATACAATGGGGCCCATCTCTATAAGAGAGGTGGTACACAATGCAGTATGAAAAATGTGGTAAGCCTAGCATTTTCCATTATTACAAACCCGTCTATTTATTAGTTGTCGTCCAATCATCATTCTTACATAAAATCAACCAAATGAGAAACTATTTTATTATATTGTTCGAATTACTTTTCGATTTTCTGAATTTGTTTATATAGGATAATTCCTAAATGGGAACCTTGCAAACTGAGGATGTTCGCATTCTACAAATTTAAATTGGTAGTTTCAATGCCAATGATTGAAACTACCAATTTAAATTTGTAGGTTCTTCTTCAAGGATTCACACCCAAAAAAAAAAAAATTCAGAAAACGTTTGACCATTTGATTCACATAATTGTCAGATCAATATTGATGGCAAACGTTTTCAGATTCTTCTTCTCAGCCATCTCATTAGTAGTATTATATGGATTGGTTCTCATCTATTCGTATACAGGGAATCACCATGTTTGGAAAGAAGTTGCAGTACCTAGTGCGTCCGAGGTCTGGGATCAAGACTCGAAGGAAGGCTAAAACTTCCCCCCCACCCACTGTCCTCACCTTAGAAGATGAAGGCTTTATGAACGAGGGAATTTATGGGAGTGTAAAGTCTACGGTAGCTACTGGCAAAACTACAACCAACAGCTCAAAGGTGGAGAAACAGCATTTGTGTTGTAGTTCTAGTAGACTCCGGGCCTCTTATGGCAGACGAAATGCCCGTAAAACCTTATTAGAAGATGAAGGCTTTGTGAATGAGGGAATTTATTGGAGTGTAAAGTCTGCGATAGCTAGTGGCAAAACTACCAAGTCTACAAAGAATCAGAGCTCTTCATGATCACTCTCTCCTAGCTAGTGATTTATGATCCCACAGGCACAGCCAACCAAAGCCCGCAACAATTTCAGTCAGCCAGAGCCAAAAAAGGCATATTATTTTCTTTTCATGGTCAGCTTCATCAATGTAGTAATTTTCACTCATTGCTGTTTTTGGAACACGGAAGAATTACATGTCTGTCTACTTAGTTATTGCTTAAGTTATTAGGTTGCGTCTGAATGTATTGATTTCTACTCATAGTTATCATGTGAAGTGTGTTTTCTAATTCAATGGTATATAATATATTTTTAATTGCGTTTATAATTCAAAGGTATATATTTTTAATTTGATTTTCTAATCCACGTTACCTCACAAACCAACACCCGTGGAAACAATTGATTTGCTAGGGATTTGAAAAGTGCTTTCAGAGCTAGCCTTCCTAGGAACCACCTGCACCTGGTATTGTTCTTATATTGACTTATACAATACAACCTGACGTGACGTCCAGACAAGTTACAAGTTACGCTTGCCTCTGCGCACAGACAAGTTACAAGTAGGCTCTGCAGATGGAGATGGAGGCCATGTCGCTCGAAAGGAGTTTGGATAAGAGTAGTGCAGGTACAGCCGATGTAGATGACCCTGTCTCCACCTCCAACTCCAACGAAACAAAAATCAATGTCGATGATGACCTGTCACCGAAATCTAGTGTCCAAGGAAATAACAAGGAGGAGAGAACTGCAGCAGGCTCTTTCTCTGAATCTCCAACATCCACTCCTCTTTCTACCCAGATTCTCAGAGTACGTATACGAATACTAAAGTTGAGCTATATATATATACAGAAATTCTCTTATGCGGACATCCGGACGTTATTATCGTGCGGACGCTGTGTATTTTGTACTACCCCTTTCTGTTTTCCTGCATGTTTACAATAGGATCCGTACGATAATAATGTGCGGACATCCGGATAAGAGAATAACTGATATATATATATATATATCATTTTCTCTATTTTATTGCAAATCATCAATTAAATTATTTTAAAATAAAGAATTAAATGAATTAAATTCATGTCAGCTGATTTCATTTATTGACGGGGCATGACCACATCAATTGCCACATCATATGGCAGTTAATGTTGTCAATTTTTTGTGTTCAAATAGTATTATTGTTTTTCATTTGCCTAATATTTTGCAAGGATGATCTATGAATGAAGATTTGAAAAATAGACAATTTGGATTGTTGAAAAAATAATCGTACAGGACCCTAAAAGGTGTCTCAAATAAAATTATTTGAGGGATCCTTGAATTATATATTTTTGTGTAAATAGACTTTTCCATTGGTAGATCCCTCAAATAATCTTATCACATTGTGTGTATCACTACGAATTTTACTTCAACAATCTGAATTGTCTATTTGTCAAGTTTCATTCATAGATCATTCATGCAAAAAACTAGATAAATTGAAAACCATTAAGACATCTAGTTGTGACTAACAAAATAAACTTTCGAGAAAACATTAAAATGATAATCTTTGAATGGTTAAATGATTTTAGATTAAAGTGTTTTTTTTTCTTTTTTCTGCATAGATATCTTTGAAGGAATACCTAAAAAATAGACGGTTCGAATAATTGAAATACAATGCGAATCTCTCAATTCTTGAATCTGGCTTAGTTATTGCAGGGTTGAACTAATCTTGAAGAAAAACATAAAATATATACGATTCCGATGATTGAAAATTGCGTCTCTTGTCATCTCATGAGTGGTATTATGGATTGGTTCTCATTTATTTGGTATACAGGGAATCACCATGGTTGGAAAGATGTTGCTGGACGTAGTAGTGCTGCTGCTGTGTCCGTTATGGAGCATATGTTGGATCAAGGCTGCAAGAGAGAAGAGTGCCACAAAGATTATGGATCAGTCTGAAAATGATGGGTTTGTAAAGTCTACGCTAGCTACTGGCAAAACTACGACGTCTACAAAGAAAAACAGTGAGAGCTCTTCAGGATCTTCTGCAACTGCAACTGCAACCCTAGTATTACACGTTTGTCTACTTAGTGTTATTATATTGGAGTGTTTCTTTTTTATGTTCAACTTCATCAATGTAGTGATTTTCACTCTGTTTATGGAAACATGGATTCTATGCATACTTAGTCGTTACTTAAGTCGTATCATTTAACAAACAAACAATTGAGAAAAACCTAATCGCTGCTCTGAGAAAACCCAAAGAAAATTTCCTAGCTGCCGCCCCCTTTGGGGTCAGCGACCACCGTTCCTACTCCATCCCCTTTCTTCTCCTCTCATTCCCTTCCTTTTACCTCTGGATTCTTTGTTTTCTGTGTTGTAGAAACAATCGTCGTGAAACATTGTCGTCCTCATGATATAGTTATCGTCTTTTGGCCCACTGGATCCAGTTGTTAGTCTATGATATGGATTTGGAGCTATAAAGCGGGGCTGATGCCGGGTTGCGTCGGGTTCGAATTTAGCCGGTGCGTCACTATGGGTTTAGCCGGTATGGCACTATGGCTCTCTTCGGGTTGCCCGAGAGGATGTGGAGTTGTGGTCTTGTTTCTTAGTTTGTTTTAGTCTAATAATTCTCATGAATTCTTTAGGAATTTGATGAGGTTCATTTTTTGTTTAGGATATGTTATTTCTTTTTGGCTTTCAATACAGATTTGTTGTTTCTGACCTTGCACGACAAATCTTCATTGCATGTTTGAGTGCATGTGCTTCTAGTTGCTGATTCGGGGATTTTAATCATTTTTTGGGTTGTGCCTATTCTCTCTAGATCAATTCAACTTATTGTTGCGTTTGATCACTGAAGAAGTTGTATCCATATTCAGCACCTTAGTTGCTTTGTACTTGTTTTTGTTTATCTTATCAATAAAATATTATCGTTCTTTTATAAAATAAAAAAATCGTATAATTTCATCAATTAAATGCCTCTTCCACCCTTTGATTAATTAAATTTTAGGGGGATTCAACTTCGAAATTCAATGCATTTTTGCCTTTTGGATATTTGAGCAACTCTGCTTTCTAACGGTTCACTTCAAAATTGGGCTCTCTCTCGTGTAAAACTTTCTTCATGTTCCATTATACTACTAACAGCAAACTGCCTTTTCCAAGTTTAAACATCCTGTACTTACTTGGGAATATCCATTGTCACTTTTTGTGAGGACATCATACCCAATGAGTTATAGCTTAAATGGCATGGAATGGGTGAGAAATGAGAATAAATCAAACAGTTCAAATCTTGTTGCACAAAAAAAAAAAAAAAAACCGAAATTGCGGACACTAGAATGCTTTATCCTAAAACCCAACATCAAATATCTCTCCTTCATTCACTCACTATAAGAAATCAACATGAGTGTCTCATTTAAACCCTACAAAGGAAGTAGAACATGGCTGCCCTCTACTAATAAATAACATGGTTAATACACGCGTGCATTAGGAAAATTACCACACACCACATTCTCCAAACCCATCTTTTTCTAGCGCATCTCTTCAATAACCAGCATTTTGCTCTGGTGCCATGTCAAGAGTTTTGTGATTCACTCAGAGTCAACAGGCTATATTTGGCACAACCACATTTTCAACACAAAAGTTAATGGGAATAATAATACAATTACAACCTACGAACACAGTTCTAGGAAACAAAAGAATATATAACCCAACAAAGGGGTTTTATCAAGCACTAACTTCAGGATTTGGGGTGTACCAGCCGTGGTGGATTTCTACAGCCTTCTTTCTTCTGGCCAGTCGAGACTTTCTGCGTGCTCCAGTATTCCTGTGCAAGGTTCCCACTTTCACTGCTTTGTCAATGATGGAGTATGCCTCTCCAATGAGCTTCTCAATTGAAAGCACCTCTTCAGGCGTAGCATCTGGTTTCTTCTTGAGCACATCTAAAGCTTCCAAAACCTAGAAAAAGGTAGCCAAGAGACAACAATCGGCAGCCCAAAATTGATGAATATGAATTTCTGCAATGCTAATGCATTTCTTTCCTAGCAGGTAAAAACTTTAAAGTAGTCTTTCAACTTTTCGTTTCTCCACTTATTTTCAAAGTGGAAATACAATGAATTGAATTGGCAAGTATGACTAAAGTACGAGGACATAAAAAGGTTCCTATTCAGTTGCACTTTTAAGAGAAATGGATAACCATGTATTCAGATGCATGCCCTTTCTAACATTAATAAATACAAATTCTGTACAGCTGAGCATGCAAACACATGAGAGCCAAAAGAAAATAGAATATAAAAAACAGAAGGAAAACAACACACAAACACACACACAAACAGAAGGAAAACAACACACACACACACACATGAGAGCCAAAAGAAAATAGAATATAAAAAACAGAAGGAAAACAACACACACACACACAGAGATCATCTTTAGAACCTGTTTGAATCAAACAGGCATCACGCCACTGGATAAGCTATACACGTTCATGACTACTAACACAATCTATGAACAATTTTTTATATCATCCTTACAGCAAATAAACACACAGGTAACATTTTTATCACCCTGACAACTTCTCCTTAATTAATGTCCAATTTTCTCTGAAATTACTTTTATTTTTCTTTTCCAAAGATGATGCTCCAAATAATACGCAAAATGATCTCTCAGCACAACTTCATTCCTATATATATATATATTGACCCCTAAGGATAGAGATCAAGACAAAGGTATTACCTCGACTTCCATTACACGTAATTCCAATCCAACACTTTGTCTTTGGTAAAATTGCCTTTCGAATCACTTAGAAAGATATTGTCAAAGAAAAATATATAGATTAGGAAGTAAAAGCATATTGTTAATATACCAGTATAATCCATGAACTATCCTCTTCTCCATAGAAATTCTCTTAACTAATACCAGTATAATTTAATCAACCAAGTAATGAGACCAATGTGGAAATTGGTCATTAACCTTGATTAGACACCGATATGGTCGCTCTTTGCAAATGAGAAACCAAGGCATCAAACATGGTGACAAGTCAAGAGCTGTACACTGGGGCATGGCATGGCTGTAGAAGCTATACTTAAGAATACTACTGTGCTAAAACATATGCATACCCGCACACATAGACACACAAATAAATGTTTGGCCTAAGTCATGTATCAGGGGATATTAAAGTATTGAAAAGTGCATAGGTTATTCCCATTTATTAACTCCTGCAGGATAGCCATTCTGTAGGAGAAAGGAGTGTGCTAAGATCTTTGAGTGAACCGTAATTTTCTTTCTCCAATATAAATAGATTCAATTGTATTACTGACAACAAAATACAGCTTGCTTTAGAGATATCACTAATATGCTTGAAACCCAGCAAAAGCTCATAGAACTTAACAGACATGGCCGAGATTTAAAAACTCCATAACTCCAAGAAAACATAAAAATAGCAGAAATACAGAATATGCTTTATGTTGTTGTAGCAAGTAAATCTCCAACTGACTTCAGAAAGCATCTCCGAACATTAAAGGTTCAATGTGGCATTGGAATTTAGGCATGCACAAGCACCAGCGCAGTGCGCTCATATGTAATACAAAGTAAGTCAACTAAATATACAATGAGGCTTTTCTTTAATTCTATTTACATTTATGCACCAAGCAGTGGATAAATTACTATGTGACCTGAAAATACACAACACATTGATTAAGAAAGCAGTCTCCTGTAAACACCAAACTCTTAACACTGAATAAGTAAAACGGCAGTAATTATATGAATTCATCACACTCATAACTCATAGTAACTAGTCATAGCATTGTCACATATTCATCGGAAATAATCAGAATGAACTTAAATTTACAGACAATGTAAGCCAAAAGAAGCAAAACCCATCAGTTACGAAAAGAAAAATACCTTCTTCATCCGGGTTTTGATTTCAGATTTCCGGGATTTGTGGTAAATGCGCCTTTTCTCAGCCTGCCGAGCTCTCTTTTCAGCAGAATCAGGCTTTTTCGTTGTGGCAACCTCACAGACTACAGAACGACGAGTTGGCCTCTGAACTGGGCTCAATGAAAAATACCCTGAAAACAAAAGAAAAAGAAACTACATATAAAAAATTCTCTTTTGAAATAATATTATGCTCTGTCTGGTTTCTCATAAATGGGTGATATGATACACAAAAACCAAAACTTTAGACCAGAAATGGCAAAATTTTCCACCCCATTGTGCTTAATTGTTCATGTTTTGTGGTGTGAGTGTCGAAGAAGAAGACAGATAAAGAGGAATGCAATAATTGCAAGAAAGCGAGAGTTTTGATTACCTCTGGAGAAGAAATTGTGAGAAAGGCTAGCGGAGAAACTGAGAGAAGTGAAGTGGGTTGAGGTGGAATGAGTTGCAGAAGAAGTAGAAGGGCCATTGAGGGAAAGGTTGCTGAGTTTGGAAGGAAGGGCCAAGCACGAAGATAGGCAATGAACAGCAGCTGCCATCTCTATCTCTCTCTGTCTCTCTCTTTCTCTCCCTCAAAAATTGTAATACTGAGTGTTTCTTCCTCTGAATTTTATCCACTGGATTTTAAATTCCCCTTCTCTCCCTGCTGGTGGAATTACTCTTCTCTCCCTGATGGCCAAATAATATATTATTGTATTGGTTTTTTTGTTATTCATATTGTTAATAGAAAATATTTTTGCAAATTGAAATTCAAAAGGGATGGATTTTTAGTTGTTATAAGATTTTTTATCTCTGCACCTGAGATCATGTGTTCGATTCACCCTCCGAACATACCCATAGGTAAAAACATTTACTCGAAACATCGAATTGTTTTAATTGGACAAGTACAATCTTCTTTAATTCCTTTTGGAAACCCGAGATCATGCGTTCAATTCACCCTCCGAACTTACCTATAGGGAAAAACATTTACTTAAAGAAACATCAAATTGTTTTAATTGGACGAGTACAGTCTTCTTTAATTCCTTTTGGGATTAAATGTTTAATGGATGCTGTACTGAGTGATCAAATCTTTGATGAATGGTGAGGTAAAGGAATAAGCTTCTAACCCTTTTTGTTTTTTGGGTTTTTCATCTACGGAGAAGAAGAATTCGATTAGGAAGAAATATACCAGTCGATTGAGCGCTAATGGGTCTCATATTTTCTGTATAAAAGGGAAAAAGAATTGGTCAACGAATCCATATTCCTCCCTACCTTTAACTGGGAAATTTGTACTCTGAGAAACTCTACAACTTTCTTTGAACTGGCAAATATAGAATTCCACAATTCCACATTCCTCTCTAGCTTTACGTGTTTCAGTTCTGAACAGGTAATAATTCTTCTTTAAATTCACAGCTTAACATTCAGGAGAATTCACAGCTTAACATGTATCCGCAGTTAGTTTAAACAAACTTTTGTATGCAACATGTGTTAACAGTAAATTCATAGGCTGCACACAGTTGCTGATGCCTGGCGGCGTCTAGAATCTGTCATCTGTCACCACTGTAGGCTGAGCTTCAAGCCTTTTAGCAAGGTAGGGGCCCTTTCTAACAGCATCATACAACTGCCCACAAAAAGGAAGGGACAACAGAAGATGCACAACATGAGCCTCATTTTCAATTAATTGGTTGTTTGAGAAAAGAAAAGAAAAAAGTGAAGAAGACCTAATTTTTCTGTTGATCATAGATTTTTTTTTTTTTTTTCTGTTCTATTCTATTATTTCTCTTCAATGGTTAGCAACTCTCACCCAATAAGTCACACAGAAACATGTGAAGGTAACTGAGTACTACCGACTACGATTTTATGGTCAAACAAAATTTTCATGAAGTTGTTTAGGTCTCTGACAATTTGAATAAAATTCCCTGATGTGCTCAGGGATCCCCCAAAACCTCCTCCCCCACTCTTTGAAAAGAGTGAAGAAGGTTCTGTATTGCAGAAATAGAACTAACCTTTTCAGCAAGCCCAGCAAGAGCTGGATCGCTGCTAACTTTACTTGACATGATAAAAGCCTTCTGGATTGCCTTGCAGCAATTATATCTGGCTTCCATACCTGAACAATATTTTTCATTGACATGAAATAGGTAAGGTTTGGAACCTAAAATAATAAATGAGAGCAGTTCTTTAGTCCAAGTGCAAAAGAAAACCAGAAGCCAAATGAAACCATATTAAGGTAAGGGTCTGCCAAATGTGCCATCACCTAGATTAAGCACTGAAAAGTAACGTATTATGCAGTTATAATATTTCAGGGGAAGGTTGGAAAGGAGTCCCTTTACATTGACACCGGAAAGAATCTCTGTTATTAATTGCTAGAAAAATAGAAGCCAATTTCATGTAGTATTGCAAGGTAATAAATTGAACGAATATATAAAGAAAATGAAAGAGACCTAGTTTTGTGGTTTCAGTAGTTGCATCAGTCACTATATTTATTATCTCTTGCTTCGAGCAAATTTCCATGAGGCACCATGGGCGAGCCACCAACCCGGTCAGCATTCTATAACCCTGAAAATGCATTTAAAAACCACCACAAATACCAAAATAAATTATATTTCAAATATAAGCAACATATTAATTTGTATATCATCTTATTTTATATTTTCGTTCTTTCTACATCGCCACATGAAGCATCATCAAAACTTTCAATTTCAAATTTACATTGCTCATCGTTCTTTTCCACATAATTATGCTTTGGTTACCGACGAACCTTTCCAAAGGTGACCCAAATATAAAAAGTAATGTGTTCCAAAGAGTCATTAGTACTTACAACAACAAACACCACAACACGATGAAAGATTCAGTCTATCTAAATATCATATTTCCATTTCCATATGAAAAAATATAACAGAATTAAGGGGCACTGCCACATAGCACAATCTAAAAACAAGACCTATGTAAAGCTCAGGAGAAAACAGGCGAGAAAACTATCATGTTAAATTGAGCTCCAGACGTTCAATTACTTTCATGTTCATAAAAGTATACAACTGTCACACCACTAAAAATATCCACAATTCGTGATTTTAGAAGTCTCACCGCCAAACGAGTTTCTGAATCCTGTTTGAGAACAGATAGGAAAATACCCTGCCAATTGCATCAACAACTGAGTAAAACTTCCCCACATTTCAAGACTTTAATGAAGAATGACAAGGACGCTTTATAAAAAAAATGTGAATCCATATGAAAGTTATGAACTCCAATTGATTTGATAAATAAAATTGTTGGATTCATGCAAAGGAATGAAAATGACCAGCACCCAAGGGCAAAAAATTTAGAGGTTTATGAAACAATGTTTAGGAGGTAAAAAAATAAGGGAGGAAAAAACTGCTCACAGATGGTGTCAACTTTGAGCTCTTAGATGCAGTTTCATAAATCAAGCGCCTGAGGCTTTCTTCTGCATCACTAGTCAGTATCATGCTGTTTTCAGATCGAGTTTCTCCAGAGATGTTTCCAAGGGCATGTAAGGCAGCCTGCCCTTGCCATAAAAGAACGATTAAAGTATAATAGAGAATGTAAAGTACAACAGATACTATCTTTCTAATCATCACCGAATACTTGGACACATCACAGAAACAGTTCAGTCAATTATTAGGAAACATCACATATCCCATGTGTATAAGCCAATTCATCATTTTATTGGCAAACCCAATATGTCAGTGGATGCAATCAAAAAATAAACTTGATGTGGGATCCGTAAGATTTAAGATAGTTGTCAGATGAAGTACCACTAAAACATTGTAAGATTTAAGATAGTTGACTGAGGAGAACCTTTCCTAACTCAATCTATTGGCAAAATAAAACATGATAAGGAACATATAAATAAGGGGATTAAAAACATAAAGTGAAAGGACTAGATTCACTCACCAGTTGTTTACCACGTCCTTGCCTATCAAAGGCAGCATAAATAACATGTCTTGCAGCTGGTGGTGAGCTTGAAAGTAGAAATTGCGCCCCTTGAATTGCTAAGATCATTCCAAAACAACAGCTATAAATATTGACTTCTTAATGAGGATAGGTAGAAATGTTTCACGTTATGTAATCCAATTCCCAAGCCTAAAACAGCTGCGGGCATACTTACATGACCCTATTTGACCCAGTGCTTCAAGAGCAGATTCACACTCATCTGCATCTTGAGTTTCTGATGAACTAAGTATCCTATCTATGGCTGATACTACAGTTTTTACACCTGCAAAATCAAGATTAGTACCGAAATCAATTAAGGACCACATTTTACAATCTTAGAAAAAGCAATTATATATTTTTCAGAAGTAACAAATCTCAAAATGTACCCTTTAAAATCATTTTTATCCAACCCAGAATGTTATACCCTGAAAAACTAGTGTTCTCTTTCCAACCTAATAGGGACAATGGGGGTCAACTGCTACTAGCAATTTAGAGGCAGCTTTGGGTCGTTTGGATAAAATTCAAACAAACAAGCTGGCCAAAACATAAAAAAGAAATTAAGGGTGCCCACTAATGAAGACTTTTTTCTTCCTTCTCCCTAGGTCAGAAAATGGGATGGCACATGCCTCAACGGTGCAGCCCTAAAAGTAGGCACAATGTCCGTCTTGGAAGAACTGGTACACAAGCTACCAATGAGCCACCACAAATAATGAAGGCACTGGACTGCAGGGCATCTTATATTCAGGATGAAAGGAAAAACAAAAGTCCTATGATATTTTGAAGAGGAACTCAATTCTCTGGAATGATGCAAGTAGAAATTATTCATATTATAAATTTCACAAGCATCTGGAACAGCAGAAGTTGAATGCAAGCCTTACTAAGTTCATCAGCAAACATGTAATTCCCCTTGGACAGAAGTCTTCCACCGATCATCATTGCTCTTGATCTTAAAACTGATTCCATTGATTTATTGCTACAAAACTCATAAGAGGATATCATGTTGTGTGTCTACAAGAGCTCCTAAACAGTTAAAGGATGCACCATGAAACTGATACTAAGAAAATATTCTCTCAACTAAGCACCTGATTATAGAACTAAGCAGTTGCAGAAGGGTGCTTGTTGACAAAAACTCTCTACCATGCTCGACCTCGGACAACTTTATCAATTGAGCACATATAACAAGAACATTTCAATATAAGGTATTTAATCAAGGAAAAGAGATTATTAAAGGAAAACAATACCAGAAAATTTGGGAATTCTCTATTGACTCTAAAAGAAAAGATGAGAGAACTTCAGATAGATATCTTTCAATTGGAAATAATCACATGCAAATCAAGGGCAACTACACTTCAACAATTTGTCCTAAACATTAGTCCTTGAACAAAGCTGTGGAGCTTCTCTTTTTCATCTCCATATATTTAATGTATTTCAGTTATTCCGGATATCAGAATGCTGAGTTTAAATACAGAGCTTGTAGTAAGCCACAATCATTATATAGCATGAAATGGAGCATCACAGAAGCTAAGATGAAGAGTTAGAGCTTTCAAAACAGGCAGTTTTGTAGAAAGAGAGAGAGAGAGAATGGGTAATCAACGGCCAACCTCATACATAATCTCCAAAACGCTCATGGTTGCAAGGGTATCATTTGTGTTGTTGATTTCTGCCTCAA